ACGATGTCAAAATGAAAGAGAAATAAGAAAATTCACAGCACTGTGTCGGGTCCTATCAATTTAGAATTGCGTGGCTGATGTTTGTTCCCTATATGCACAAGTTTCGGCTTTGAAATGCACATGATTTCAATTATCTTATCAGAGTTCAAAATGAACATAAATATGTCAGTAGGAAGTTTCTTTGTTAGAAAGTGGCATTTTTGTCAATTTGACAATTTCTCTGCACTAAAAGCAACAAAGGTTTCTGAGCATATTGTACATAGTAGAATTTGCCAATTTGTATATGCACATTTATCAGCAAAGGTTTTTGTGCATTTTGTTTGTGCTTAATTGTACAATATTACATGTACACAAGACATGAAGTAAAGTTGTTTTGTGGCGGCTGTTATCGGCCACCGTAGCCTACGTCTCAATCGCTGTCTTAGTTATAGATTTACTTCCCGTTATTCTGAAGCGTCGCGTGGTGCTATTTTGCTATTTTTAGCACTGGAGAAGTAAACAAAACTTGGTGAAAAGTGCAATTTCTAAAAAAAAAAAAATAGAACGTTTAAAAAAGGGACACTGGTCCAAATGTTCCTTTCTGTGTTAACTTTAGAAAATACTACCTATTCATCAGTTTTAGTCATATTTAAACAAAACATTTCACACTACAGGCTACAACAATTCCTATAATTAATAATTTATGAATAATATTGCCATGGTTACTGTATCAATAATTTTTTCTTTAAATTCCTTCAGAAGGTTGCTAAAGTTTTGGGCAAATTTTGGAACATTTGTGAAGTATTTAGATACAGCATAAATCCTTTTCAATTTAATTATTATTTCTTTTTTATTTAAAAAGGATTTATTAGATATTTTATCGATTTGTGTTGCTGAATGCCTTGGTTGATATTTTTTTAAAATGTAAAAAACAATCACTGATTGATGAAGATTAGGAAGTCTAAAACGCATTCGTGTTTTCAATCACATTTCGCCGTTTTGCAGCTTCCTCCATGGTTAGATTTTCAAATGTGGAGAACCCTGTGTGGATAGGCCAGAATAAGGCTATAGTCGTGATCACAGCACTTGTGCCAGTCTTATTAAAAACACATCTTATACATTTTTAAATGAAGAATATTGATGTACACATGTATATCGCATCGTGCATGGCTCTCTTTAAATGATTAATTGATTCTTTCCACGTTACTGTTACGGGGGGGGGGGGGGGGGGGGGGGGGGGGGGGTAAATCAACAGTTCAAGTCAGATATTAATCTTATATATTTATTTTTTAGGCAACTCTGGCGGATAGTTATGCTGTATGTGCTTCTTCCTGTGAATGCCCTTTGGGCAAATTTGTGTGTCACCATGTTGCAACAGCTTTGTTGTATGGGTAATTATTTAAATGAATATTTACCTTTTGAAGCAGATATCTACTTGTTTTATAAAAGTAGATTAATTTGTAAAGTTCTCCTAAGTAAATTATAATATAGACAGTGTATATAGAATACTTTTTAATAATTTGATGATGTTCAGTGGACCCAGTGTTGTGAGGGTCTGTCTTATTAACTATATGCTAATCAAGCTAAGGCCGATTAGCTAGGGGGTGTCCACACAGTGGGCTATACATGTACTTAGACAACCCTCAGATTCAAAACCCAACGCAGTGGTGGATCCAGAAATTTCGTAATGGGGGCGGGGGCAGTAGAAGGTAGAGGTTTTTGGCGGGCTGAACTGAAGCCCCCAATGGGCCTTAGGCCCGTAGTAGTCAAGTAGATTGGATTTTTTAAACTTGAATAGATAGCACAAACAGTCCGAATACTGGATTAGTCGCGAAATTTTCCTGACCAAACCCGGATCTATTTGTCTAGGTAGGTTCCCTTAAAACACGTTGCCATTCTGGTGGGTTTTTTAGTTGAAATGGAAATTTTTTATCCGTATTTTTTGTTGCTTTATATCTGATTAAACTGCAATTTGATAAGATATAGCAACAAAAATACGGATAAAAAATTTGTATCACAATTAACCAATTAGATAAGGCGGAACAGAAGTGCGACTCCAAAACCTCTTCCAAAGCTGCCAATGGAGAAAATTTTATGTATCCGATTAATAAATCATCCGATTACGGCATATTTAAAACTACTGAAGGCGGTTACGTTAAATAGTTCAGAAGAACATCTTCCTGCCAAAGTGCTTGCAAAAGTGTGATAGGTTACATTGTTATTTCCTTGGAAATCTGTCTCGAAGCCGGGGAATCTCCTGTTTGATTACAATGTTTCTTACCATGTGTTTTTTATTATACCGTATAAGGCCATTCTTTGAACGTGAGAAAAACCTAGTCGCATTGAACGACATATAGAAGTGTTTGAGGGGGAAATTAAATATTTTTTTAGATATTATAGACTCTTACATTTTTTTTATTAAGAAAAATGGGGGGGGGGGGCATTATCCACATTTCAGGCGCCAGTGCTACTACTGTTCTCGCCGTTTGTCATAAGTACAAACCAGTAAGCTAATCTTGACAGACTTCTAGTTTAGTACACTTTTAGAAGACAATATTAAAGAATTTTATGTTTTAAAATCAATTAAGTAATTATTTCCTTTAAAGTGGCATACATTCCTTTCAACCGTAACAAAGACATGACTTCCTCCTTACATAAAAAAAATTAGGTTGCTATTTAAAAAATATAATCACCACATTTATGACATGTATATGAGCAATATATTTGGATATATGTACAATTTAAATGCAAATCGTTTCATACACATATTTGGAAAAATAATAGACTAGTCATTAATTATCTTCATTAAAACAAGGATTGATTTATCCTCTTTGTGTCAAGATTCAGGTGACATTGTGTCTGTAGAGTGAAATGTATGGCGCTCCAGTCCTGTGAAAAATTTCATTAGACGGACGATCTGTACTATCTGTACTTGTATCAAATGTTGGTTGTCTGCTTCGAGTATTTTTCACTCATATTGGGATGCAACGAAGATTGTTAGGAAGCTGTCATTTTAGATAAAAATTGGACAGAGGAAATTTAAACTTCAAAAAATTGCGTTCGCACTGTCAATGCTGACCCGTCTTCTTTTCCATATACTTGTTCCTTTATATAATAAATGAAATTCTGAAAACATCCATTATTTCTGGACTTAGGTAAGAGGGCATATCTGAAATAATTATCAATTGCAACATCAAGTAAGTAATCTACGAGTTTAAACTCTACTGGTCAGAGACCGGAAGAGCTTATGCGATAGTTAGTTAGGATAGATAGTTAGGGCGTCCTTCCATTGTCTTTAAACAATTTTTCAAAATGCTACTCCTCCTACAGTTTTAATCTAATTTCAATCTTACTAAGAACACAGCCAAGTAGACTACACTAAGATGCAAGGTTTAGGTCATCGTTCATAGATTCAGGTTTGTTCAAATACGACCTCGGGGGTAGAGTGGGGCCACAAAAAAAAATTCAAAGGAATAATATAGGGAAAACCCTTAAACATCTTCTTCCGAAGAACAACAAAACCATGATTCATACCGCGTCGACATCATTGTGCAATACTGATTTTATTGTATTTTTGGTCGTTTGATTTTAATTGAGTCATGCAGGAGACCAGTTGCTATCTGTTTTTGCCAATCGTGCCGCACACGTGTGTCGGTCGTTGATTTATGAACATTTTCATTTTCTCTTAAAGCACTTAACCAATTTCAATCTAGCTTCAGATATGTAGCTCGTTGATGTGAAATATTAGGAGGGCCACCAGGGAGGTAAAGTGCCGCCCATTGAAAAAAATGCATATTTATTGCACACAAAAAGCTGCACCGTTTTTTCGATTTATTTCTCCGTATATTAATCTCAAATTATTTTTAACTGCATGCTTGTAGAAAACTCTCTTACTAATTGAACAACTTAACATTACCCCAACCGCTGTAAATAGCCTTCCAGCGCATGAAATGGAGACCACTGAAAATGTCGCTATTTATATTGCCATTTTGGATGGCTATGCAATTCGGTCCGTCGCACTTCATGCATGCAGTTGTGTTGTGAACGTAGTAACAGAATATGGTAGAAACATATAGTTAAAAATGTAATATGTATACATTTTATGTCGGAGCAGGGCGGCACTAAGCATGCTAAGGAATCACTTTACCTGGCGTCTGTCTGTCCATATGTCTCACATTGTATCCCAAGAGCTGTTAGAGACATGGACTTTTGGTTTGAGTGCTTTTCTTTGTTGTCTTATTAAGACTCAGTAAACATTTAAAGAAACTGGAAATTTCAATTTTTCCATTTTTTTGGCTGTTACCATAGGGACCGAGTAACATAGCAACGAAAAATTATTTGTTTTTTTTAATTATGTTTCTGGTGTCAAGTACTAAGAATGGGTGAAGTTAAATTAAAATTGGTGACAATCATGGCAACAAAGTTTACGCGGTTTACAGAGGCTCTTAATTAAATGGGCATTTAGAGTAAGGTGTGACTGATCAAGCGGGTCAGCGCCCCCCCCCTCCCCTCCCCCCCGCTCAATAATCCAAAGGTTCCGGAACAAACACCCGAATATTATCATGTGTTTAATGATTAATTTTGTCCAATTATGCCCCGTAAGCTATGCTATAATTGTTTATATTCTACTTTAATTAAATTACATATCGTTTGGTCGCAGTTCTTAAGAAAAGTTTACATACGGAGAGAAGGACTGGCAGACGGACGCCAAACAAAATAAGATCAGAAAAGCTCACTTTTTCTCTCATCTCGTGCGATAACATCTGTGCGGATCTGGCGGAAGGGTAAAAGGGATCTAAGAATTCATAAATAATGTATAATATTTTAAGTAAGAAAAATGACCTCTTCCCTCCTCCCCCAGAAAATTGATTAATATCTATAAGAACGAAAACAACTTGTCCCCTGCCCCTTCTCAAAATGAATTTCTCGTTAAAATCTCCCACCCATCCCCAACCCCTACATCCTGGATCCCATGCATGAATCTTAAATATTTTTACCTTGTTAAAATTTTAGATTCAAGACAAGAGACGTGTAATTATGAAGGGAATACATGCCGTAATTGTGATTTGTTGCTGGCATCTGGTACAAGGATATTACCAAATAGGGGTTATTAGGGACACATGTTTAGAAAATGAGCTGTATTCAACCGTCATAAACTCTGTATCAACTGGTATCACCTACAATCTCTGTATTCCCTCACCATATAACGAAAAATGTAGTTTTCAAGGTGAGTATATACACACCTTTGCTTCTTATTTATTTAACAAATACTAGGAATACGAAAAAAAAGAAATCTTAAGAATTTTTGGATCTTATGTTGAAATTGCTTTTATTGTTGACAACATTGTGAATCCATACTTTCATCAGATATAACAGTGATGGGATGGCGATGTCCTGGTAATTCTTTCATGGCTGGGAGAGTGCGGGGTTGTACAATGGGAGGTGAGTCGTTCGTTCATATTTAAACATCGCGAACATGCAATTTGACTTAATTCAATGTAATACACGTATTTGAGAATCAATACATGAAGTTTATTTTCATTATGTTGAACTTGATGTTTATTGTTGACAACATTGTGAATCCATAATTTCGTCAAATATAACAGTGATGGGATGCCCAACCAATTCACCTTTCCCGGTAACTGGGAGAATGCGATGTTGTACAAAGGAAAGTGAGTAGCTCGTTCCAATTTAAAAACTTCGACCATCAACGTGACATTTTAAGTTTTTAATTTAATATAACACGTTTTTTTTCAGAATCAATAACATGAATTCTACTTTCATTGTATATAAATAGGTTTGGAGATTAAGAAATGCATTGTGGACCCTAAGATCTACAACTTTGACGAAGACTTTGTATCAGTTCCTCCCAAAGGGTTTTTTCTTAAAGGCCGATTAAGTGTGGGGTAAGATATTTTAATTATTATAGTTGACACACACTCCATAAATCTCTACCCAGAGTTATCGTTCTACCTCTGTCAACGTCTAAAAAGAACGGGAGCGGAGGGACTTTTTTCAAAATGTTGTTTATATTGGTCCACAAGAAGAAAAACACCTTCACCTCCATATCTCCATATGTGTCAATACTGCTAGTTGTTGTCTATAAAAACTAAACCTTGCTGATATTTACCGGCAATACGTTTTAAATTTTCCACGTTCGTAATATCCTGCCGAGAAATAATTCCTTGTGAGTCATGGTGGAAAACGATATCTGATTCTAATTCTCATAAATAATCTTTCATTTAAGATGCTAAGCAAGAATATTGATTGATTGATTGTGTATTGTTTAACGTCCCTCTCAAGAATTTTTCACTCATATGGAGACGTCACCATATGCCGGTGAAGGGCATCAAATTTTCACCTTTACTCGGCACTCAGGGCCATTGAGCAGTGAGGGATCTTTATCGTGCCAACGCCTGCCGCTGACACGGTGCCTCCGTTTTTAAGGTCTCATCCGAAGGATCCGCAACTTTCACTTCAAAGTGCCGAGCGCATGGCGAAGGAACAGTTGCTACCCATTTTAACGACTAGGTCAGTCGCGGCCGAGATACGAACTCACGACCTCCCGATCACAGAGCGAGCGCTCTACCGACTGAGCTACCGTGAACGGTGTAAGGAAGAATATAGAAGTTTTACATTTATAATATATCCTGTAAAAGGTGAAAGTAAGTTTTGCCCAGAATCCTGGCATCTAGACCATAGGCGCTTGGTTTCAGGATGGTCTATTTTGTGTATTATGTGTTTTTCTAGGTGAGTCTGGATACCCTCATCAAAATAAAAATAATAATTCGCTAAAATTAGCACGTTTTAAAAATGTCATATTTACTGTATATTAAAAAGTAAAGGAGCGTCACTCTCCATGTTGAAACTCAGGGGTAACTCAGTTCACACTTAATTTTCATCTATATCTACATTTTTCCTACAGGTGTCGGGTGAGATTTAGCTTCAAAAAAGATTGAAAGACTACTATTTTTAACGATGAAAAATGTAGAGGCGTCCCGGAATTACACGGAAAATTTAGAGAGAACAAGTTTGGCGCGGTTTCTGACCTCTCTAGATTTTCTGTGTAATTCCGGGACGCCTCTACATTTTTCATCGTTAAAAATCGGCACTTCCGTTGCTTTCGATAAACAGGGGAAAGATTCGAGGACGTTTCGATTCACTGGATGTTTAAAACGGCATATGTAGTTCAACAGATGATAGGGAGTAGTCATTCAATCTTTTTTGAAGCTAGGTCTCACCCGACACCTGTAGGAAAAATGTAGATATAGATGAAAATTAAGTGTGAACCGATTGATTGATTGAATATTGTTTAACGCCGAGTCGGCAATTTTTCAGCCATGTTTCGGCGGATCATTAGTTTAAAACGGTTTTTGAAAGTTTTTGGTTTCTCTGGCGGCCCCCAGTGAGCCTACTCTTTTTCGAACTCCAGAGAAACGATCTTTGCGTGCAAAGGGGGTTGTTATCATTGACAATGGGCACCATTTAACGTCCCATCCGACGGACTTAAATATTTATTTAAAAATATGTAAACTGTTAAAAATATTGCATAAACTGTTAATAAAATAAATTTTATATGTACATGTATATGTCATTAAAATTGTTTTTCAACTGCATTCAAATCTTATTATAATAATCCGTTTCCTGCAGATATTCTAAAATTTTATTAAGTGTGAACCGAGGTACCCCCTGAGTTTCAAGATGGAGAGTAACGCTCCTTTACTTTTTTTTATATACAGTAAATATGACATTTTTAAAACGTGCTAATTGTAGCGAATTTTAATTTTAATTTTGATGAGGGTATTCAGATACACCTAGAAAAACACATAATACACAAAATACACCAGCCTGAAACAAAGCGCCTATGATCTAGACGTTGACAGGTGTTGTAGTGAGGCGTAATGCGCCCTCAGGTGAGAGATTGACATCACATGATGCTTGTATTAAAGCTGACAAGAATTCTTAAAAGCGCAATATGTACGACTTGTTTTACACTAACTATAGCCGTATTCCGCCATATTTCTTTCATATACTGACATATTGTAAAAATACGCACTCGTGCAACTAAATGTTTTCCAAATACGGACATCTTGCGAACGAACGTAATTCGCACTAACTTTCCGTATTACGATAGTTTTCTGGGGACCTGTGAATGCACCCCTATAAAATTTAAAATCGGGGAAATATGTGCATGTGTAAAATAGATCGGATTGTGTTTTAACACTTTGTCATTGAAATTTTTTTCATTTCAAATTTTTTTTTTGTAACCACTTACACCGTTATTTAAGTGGACAAATAGAGGCAAATTCGCAATAATTCTGCAGACGCATTAAAAAATTAGGAAACTTGTTTGCGTTTGTGATTAAACGTATGTACATACTATTCGTAGTGTGTGCCGTGTTCATTTTGGGGAAAGGATACTTTTAACAATTTGAAAAGTTAAACTCGCACCCTTTATAAATTAGTGTGTACAAAGCCAACATGTTAAAGTAACAATATGAATCAAACTTATTTGCTTCTTTTAAGATATCTGTAGCATACAGAGAAAGACTAATGAAAATTATGAGTATATAGCTAAGATATAGCAATTAAACTGCAAGAAAAGACTGCGCAGTATAAGTGCCGGAAAAACAAAAGTTGTATCTACCGTTTCGTTGTTTTCGTGTATGTCAAGGTCACGCCACTTTTACTTTTAGCTCAAACTTGTAATTATAAACAACATTCAACTGGAGCATGCAAAGGTGAGAAATAATTTTAACAACTTTTTTGGAAGATTGCTTCAAACATTAATCAATCAATCAAATTTTGGTCTACTTACATTCATTCTTGGATACTTGAGACCATTGGAACTACTAGTATAGAAACATTCATTTTTCTGCGCACGCGTTCAATAGGGAGGAAGAAGTATAAAGCAAAATTTTTGTTATTGGGCATACTGAAATAATATTATTTTTACTCTTATTTTCCTCCTTATAATTAGAATTGTTAGGTTCTGAAAACTGTAATTTTCTGAAACCTAATACATTAAGGAATTGGAACAGAATTTACACGGGTCATGCAAAATTATACATTTGTCAATTTTCTCCTCTGTGCGTCACGGTGTCTTTTTAATAATAGCTGACGTGCTTTATATAATGTCTTGTATTAAAGGTGTGTTTTTGGGGAAGAGAGAAAGAGAGAGGTCCTTTTTGTCCCCCGCTTTCGCGAAAGCGAGGGGACATTAAATCTCATTCGTCTGTCTGTCTGTCCGTCACAAAAACTTTAACCTTGCCCATAACTTTTGATTTAGTGGAGCTATGACTTCATATTTCACGTGTATTCTTTGTGACAAGATACCACCAAATTTGACCTTTTGACCTTGACCTTGGAGTTTGACCCACTTTTACACAAAAATTCCAAACTTTTACTTTGGCCATAATAGGTACTAGGACTTTCATATTTCACATATGTATTGTTTGTGGCAAAACCTTTCATTGGATAACAACAACCTTGACCTTTTGACCTTGATTTTGGAGATTTACGTACTTATGAAAAAACTTTAACCTTGACCATAACTTTTGAACGGTGAGGACGAAGGCTTTCGTACTTCACATATGTAATCCTTGTGAGAAGACATTTCATTGGATACCAATAACTTTTGCCCTTTGACCTTGACCTTGGAGTTTTAATTACATTTTAAAAACTTTAACCTTGGTTACAACTTTTAAACAGTAGATACTAGGACTTTTATATTTCACATATGTATTTCTTGTGGCAAGACATTTCATTGAATACCAACAACCTTGACCTTTTGACCTTGACCTTGGAGATTTATTTACTTATGAAAAAACTTTAACCTTGACCATAACTTTTGAACGGTGAGGACTAGGGCTTTTGTACTTCACATATGTGATCCTTTTGAGAAGACCTTTCATTGGATACCAATAACTTTTACCCTTTGACCTTGACATTGGAGTTTTAACTACTTTTTAAAAATAATTTAACTTTGGTCACAACTTTTGAATGGTAGAAACTAGGACTTTTATATTTTACATATGTATTCTTTGTGGCAAGTCCTTTCATTGGATATCAACAACTTTAACCTTTTGACCTTGACCTTAAAGATTTATGTACTTATGAAAAAACTTTAACCTTGACCATAAATTTTGAACAGTAAGGGCTAGGGCTTTCATACTTCACATATGTAATCCTTGTGAGAAAACTTTTCATTGGATATCAACAACTTTGACCCTTTGATCTTGACCTACTTTTAAAAAACTTTTTACTTTGGCCATAACTTTTTAACGGTCAGGATTAGGGTTTTCATCCTTCAAAAAAATCAACTTCAGTGTTACTTTCTAAATAAATGAAATATGATAGGATGTTGTATTACACACAATATGTCATAAAAATAACATCTCACCCACAAAGACACCGAAAGAGAGGGACCACAATTCTTTGAATTTTTTATATTTAAAATATAACTTTATAACATATAATTATATAAATATATATATAAAATATATAAAATTATAAAATATAACTTCTCGTTTTGTTCTTTGGACTCTAACAACCCCAAAAACTTTCACAGTTTATGCCATTTCATGATTAAATACGACCTAACCCCAGTTTTGAGCTACTCTCCAATTTTAACTTACTTCTGGTCAAAAAATCTCGACGTACTCATTTTTATTTATCCGATTTCTTGCCTAAAGCTCGCTTCCTCGTGGTAATACTTATTCCCCGGAATGATGCAGTTGAGTGCCCGACAACTCCATCGTCCATTTTTTTTTTTGGGGGGGGGGGTTCCTGCAATGTCCTGATCGGTGGCGATTTTTAATAAAGCTGCTGCCCCGATGCAGCTTCAAAAACCTAGTATATACTACTGCTTGACATAATTAAATACTTTGTTTGAAACTGCTGTTATGTAGCCCCTAAAAAATTTTTGAAAAATGTTTTGTTTTACTGATGTATATGCATTTACTTCTCATCCACAGAAACCCGAAAGCTCCATTCGGTTATAGATTAGAATTTTGTTCTGTGCAACCTCGACGACGTCAGTATTGATTTCAACCATGAGTGCCATCCAACATCAGCACTAGTAATCAACCTCCTCTTTGTGATATAACTTAGAGAGTGATAACAAACTACATTGTATCAATAATTTTTGTTCTAATAAAGATGATGAATTACCAAATTTTTGTCATTAAATTCACATATATAAAAAACAGTAGATACATTATATTCGTTTGACCTATCTCAAAGGATGGCTGCATATAATTCAAGCTGTGTGTTGGGTCTATTTCGGTCGCTTCTGTTGCTTCTAATTCTTAACCTACTTTCACTTTGTATATTTCCCACAAAAGTCTGTCAATTTGGCACCAAATCTATACTTATAAATTAATTAATTTTTATGCGCCCGGATCGATAGATCTGGGGCGTATATTGTTTTTGTCCTGTCTGTCTGTTTGTCTGCTTGTTTTTCTGCAAACTTTAACCTTCGCCATAACTTTTGAACCATGAAAGATGGAAACTTCAGATTAGGTATACGTATTCCACTAATGAAGCTCTCTCAAATGACACCAAGGCCAATGGCCATCTGACCTTGACGGTGACCTATATGCTAAAAATAGCCTTTTATCTGCAAACTTTAACCTTCGCCATAACTTTTGAACCATGAAAGATAGAGACTTCATATTTGGTTTGCATACTCCAATTTTTAAACCCTTTCAAATGACATCAAGGTCAATGACCTTGTGACCTTTACTGTAACCTATATCCTAAAAATCGTTTTTTCGTACCTTTGCCATAACTTTCGAACCATAGAAGATAGAGACTGTGTATTTATAATTAGTATGCATACTCCACTCATAAATTTCTTTCAAATGACACCAAAGTCAATGACCTTGTGACCTTTACTGAGACCTTTATGCTAAAAATAGTTTTTTCGAAACTTTGCCATAACTTTTGAACCACAAGAGATAGAGACTTCATACTTGGTATCCATACTTTAATAATCAATTTCTTCCAAATGATACCAAGATCAATGACCTTGACTGTGACATATATGCTAAAAATAACTTTTTAAAAAGATTTGTTGCCGCCGGGCGCATAGTGTTTCACAAACACATCTTGTTCAAATAAATTCCGAAACGGGTGCACCAGAATTCATACTTACTCCTCTTATAATGCACTATATACAAGAGATGTAACGTGCAGGTGCGTCAATAGATAGAGAGCGGAAATGATCAAAGAAATCCGAAAGTGAAATTTTCGATTCAGGATGTGTCCACTTGCGGAAATGCTTATAAAATTGGCCTGGATTATTCTTCTTTAAAGCCTGGACCATATCCCCTTGTGAAGTTCGGTACTGCCGCTTCTATTTTTTTCAACATTTTTATATTCACGCTTTAGTCTAATAAGCTTTTTAAGGTCTTTCGTTTCAGGCCTTGTAGTAGCAATGCCCAAGCAAGGGGGAGATAACTTTCCAGATTTCCTCAGCCTCGTTTTGATTCCGTATCAGAAAAGAGCTTGAAAAGTACGGCTTAATAAACTACTTCAAACGTTTTGATGACCTTTCTATAAAGTTTGAGATGCCCCCAAGTGTTACTAACCCTGAATGTTTGAAGTATGGCGCGATAAGTCGTTTTAAAAAATAGATTGAAAAATAAAAACATCTCTAATTTTCATATACGGACGAGTAATGTGTCAAAACATGCATAAGTAGCTTCCACTGTTGTACCACTACAAATGCATATCACATGCAGGCAAGTATTCAACCGTTCTTGTTCGTCACACGAATTTTCCAAGGCCTACTGGAGCAAATTCGGCTCTTTCATATCCAGTATGGCAGCCAACAAATGTGTAGAAAAAAATGTAAACAATGTAAATCGAACGTCTGACGGTCTGTTAACTTCATTGTTAAGGTGATACAATGTTACATTCTTGTTTTTGAACTATGCTGAAGCATTTTGATAATGAAATTTCGTTCAAAGCCTTTTTCTTGCGCGAAAACGAAAGTAGGGTTCATCTCAAAGTGAACAAGAAAAAATTTCAAGATTGACTTACTTTGGTGAAGAAAACAGTGAAAGTCAAATAAAAACTTTATTTATAATCATACTTTGTTTTTTATTGATAAGTTTATTACTTTAAATGACAATACAGCATACGAAAAATGAGACATAAGCTATTCTGTATAAATAAGGAAAACAAAGGAGGACAACTCTTGCATTTTACATTTTGTGTCATATTTTCTTCCGTGTCTCAACAGTGGCACGAGAATATTATTAAATTTCAGATAAATTTAACTAACTGGTACCTAGGTTATATTCTAAAATGTTTTCATCTAGCAGTTCTGTTTTATCTGCTTTTAATTTGCTGATGTACACTTTCCAACCATTTTCCTCGGAAAGATGGATAACTCTTTAAGAATTCTGCATTTTTTAAACATCCATAAAAAGCTCAGTTTTCACCCGATTTAAGAAATGATTGCTGATATGGAATCAGTGGGTCATACTTTACACAATGGACATAAAAAACTGAGCATTTTTTGACTCCTTAAAAACTATTGGGTATTGCTACTTATAGTGATTCTACTGTTTCTTCTTTTTATTATTTTTTCCCCTTTTTGTTTCGACGATTTCTCAGAGATGGCTGGACGAATTTTACTGAAATTTTCAGTGATGATACAGAATAAATATCTTTAAACAGATTTTTACAGATTTTCTAAATTCACTTCCGGTCGTCACATATGTCTGATTTCCGCCTTTTTCAAAAAAAAAATGTCCGAGTCATACCTCAGAAACAGTAAGAGATTAAGACACCAACTTTATATGAGTAATAGATCTTGATAAGTAGGCAAAACCATTTGGGTTAACACTGTCCGCCGTCACTTCCGTTCGTCACAGGAAGTGATCAAAGAAATCGAAAATTTAAACTTTTCTTTTTTTGACGTTTTTATGCATCACCTTATAGCATCTTATTTGTAGTTTCGAAATATATCAGTCTCACCGGAAACAAAAATGACAACTTCCGGTTATAAGAGAAAAAATACATAATTTCAGTATTTTTCTTTCCCATAAATATTTTTTATAGATAAGTATTTGTAGTGATTTTTTGAGATGTTATATAGACTGCAAATGTCTACGGTAACGTCAAATATCTTTGTAAAATTCACTTCCGGTCGCGTGATTTTCTGCCCTCAATATGAGAATTTATCACAAAGAGATCTCGGAAACGGTATGAGATGAAGACGCCAAACTTGTATGAGTAATAGATCTTGATAAGTAAGGAAACTCAGTAGGGCTAACATCGTTGGCCGTCACTTCCGGTCGTCACAGGAAGTGATCAAAAGAAATCAAAAATTTTAACTTTGCTTTTTGGAATACTTCTCGGCATCACTTTATTGCATCTTATTTGTTGTTCTGATATATGAAAATATTTCGCAGTATTTGCATACATAACCCCATTTGGTGTGGCTGAAATACAGCCATTTATACAGATCCTCATATTTTTTAGAATTGAATAATCTTGTAGTTCTGATCTGGTACCCCTGTCTTCATTTTCACCTAAATCACTATCTGTTTGACTTTCTGTCTGAGATTGAGCAACTGCTGGCTCAACCTGACTGCATTGAAGAGAGGTCGACTCTAATTCTGAACTATCAGAAATTTCATCACATTCAGTTTCTGCTAAATTGTCATTATCAGTTTCATTTTCTTCATTCTGAATTTCGTTTGATTGAAGCTCATCATCACAATTACCCTTAGCTACGGAAAAAAAGTAAAATATGTAAATTTAACTAAGTAAGATTTCATTTCGTTTTCGAGGAAATTTGGAACGATGCAATTTTTACTTTCATGGATATACTATACTGTCATATTGCTTGAAACACATGACGATATTCTTCACTTTGTTGCTTACTTTTAAAAAAACTCCGTTAGGCTCCTGTTGCCTTTACATTTTGTCAAGGTCTTTTTGTAATATTTCGAATTGTGGCTCATTTCTCACGTGTCACGTTTCTGCATAGCCATTTGATATATGTGGTTTTTTTTTTGAGAATTTCGATCCCGTACATTTGTAAGAATTCCGATCCCGACCGAATTTTAAACGCAAATAAATTTAGGGGGAAAATAGGGTAAAATTTTGGGGGAAAAGGTAGGTTTTTGCAATTAGGAATGAGGCCGAAATTCGGCGCTACACGGGGCAGTGGAAAATCCCTGATTAGTGTTTATACTGCTTTTATAGGGCCTATTTTAGAATATGGTAATGTAGTGTGGGATAATTGCACGCAGGAACAGAGTAATCTATTAAAGAGTGTGCAAATAACGACTTATCATTACTTGGTTAAGGCGCAATTCTTCGAAACAAAAATTGTATGATGAATTATGATGGCAGACGCTTAGTGAAAGAAGAAATAAACACAAGCTTACACTTATGTACAAAATACTTTATGATTATACACCTGAATATTTGCAAGAAATGGTCAGTCAATGCCTACCTGTTTCACATAACTTCGCCTTACGCAATAATTTGTATCACTTACCAATCACTAGAACAGTTGTATATTACAATAGCTTTTTACCATCTACAATTGAATTATGGAATGATTTGCCAGATATATTAAAATCTGTAACAAGTGAAGCAAAGTTTAAACAATGTATACAAAATAAAAATCTTGAAGATAAAATAAAATCCAAATTATACAATTATGGACAAAGAATATTAAATATACTCCACTATCAGTTGAGAAACTTCTCTAGTAATCTTAATGCAGACTTGTTTAATCATAACTTAGTTTATTCACCTAAATGCTTAAAATGAGGTTATTGTTTTGAAGACTCTGTTCATTTTTTCTTTCAATGCCCATGTTATGATTTTACCATGAACTCTTTAATTACATACATGAGTGACCATGACATACCAAGAGATGTCATAATTGTATTATCAGGTTATGATTGTCTTCCTCTTAGAGAAAATATGTTATTCTTTGACCAACTTCACAATTTTATAAAAAAACACTAAAAGATTTTAGAATATGAAAATACATTAAATAATGTGCAGCATGTCTTTCAATCTAGACCTTTAGGTTGAAAATATACAAAAACATAGAAGTATGGGTCTGAGCCTTGTTACAACACACTTTGAAAAATT